CTTCTTCTCCATCTTGTCATTTAATTTTTTAACATATTAATCATAGTTATTTTAAAGTTCATATCTGATATCTCTGCTATCTGGATCTATTGTTGTTTGTGTTTTTTTACTTTTTTTCCCCTCTTGGTTTGGGGAGTTTTGTCATTTTTGTATGCTTGGTTATTTTATTTTTTTCCCTACATGCCAGCACTGTCTTTCCAGCTCTGTCACCCAGACTGGAGTGCAGTGGCGCAATCTGGGCTCACTGCAACCCCCGCCTCCCGGGTTCAAGCAATTCTCCTGCCTCAGCCTCCTGAGTAGCTGGGATTACAGGTGTGCACCACCATGCCCAGCTAATTTTTTTGTATTTTTGGTAGAGACGGGGTTTCACCATGTTGGCCAGGGTGGTTTCGAACTCTTGATCTCGTAATCTGCCTGCCTCGGCCTCCCAAAATGCTGGGATTACAGGTGTGAGCCACTGCTCCCAGCCACTTGGTTATTTTTTATTGAATTTTAGACAGTGTGTTTGAAAAATGTTAGGTATTACATTATAAGAGCCTTAAATTATTTTTCCTTTCTTTTGACAGGCTTTTAGGGTAAGGGTAGATCACCTTAATTCAGCCAAAGATTGAACTGATTCAAAGCTAGGCTTCAGTCCTTGTGAGGGCCAGCATATTTTTGGGTTCTCCTGATTCCTAGGGTATAGTTCTTTGAGGTTACAGCAGAAAGCCTGAATGAAGTATTTTCCACAGTCCTTTCTAGTTTTATGAGACCGCTGAAAGCTCTGCTCAGCTTTTCAGTAGCAGTTTTCAAATTAGCGTATGTCAGGGCTACCTTTTTGGGTTTCCCTTCTCTTCATGATTTTGGTTCCACAGGTCCTTATAACCTTAGTAGTTCTTCAGTGCTTTCACATAGATACTTTAAATATTTTGTTCCATTTTCCCAGTTGATCTTAGTAGGAGGGCTGGTTTAATCTAGTTTCTCCTAGCTTTAGGCTTGGCTTATTCTTTTAAAAACTGACCTTATGCTAAGTAAAATAAGCCAGTCACAGAAGACATATACTGTATGGTTCCACTTATATGATATCTAAAGTGGTCAAATTCTTAGAAACAGACAGTAGAATAGTGGTTGCCAGGGGCTTGAGGCAAGGGAAAAGGGGGAGTTTGTTGTTTAATGAGTATAAAGTTTCGGTTCTACTAGATGAAAAAAGTTCTGGAGACCTCTTTCACAATAATATGAGCTTATCAGGTAGCTTTTTTCCAGCTATATTGGTTTCTTTAGCTAGCTCTGTTTAGAAAACAGTATATGTAATACAAATCAGAAATTCAGTGAAATAGTATTAATTATATGCCTGTTTAACACACATTTAACTCTATATGTTTCGCCAAAAAAAAAAAAAAAAAAGACTATTTGGATAGTGGAGACAATTCTGCCAGCCATTCTTCTTAATTAGCTTATACCCCAGAATGAGCATTATAAAACAGTTCTGAGTTTGTTGTTCCTTCATCTGGCTATGTTGAAATAACTGGAAATAACTCATTCCTGAGGAATTTTCAGGGGTAATTTTGATTATACACAATGTTTGCTTTATCTCCTGATATTAGAACCCAACCTCTGTTTAAGCTTTAGCCCCAGTGGAAAGAAAAGGAAATGAGATCCCTTTATTTCTCATTGGCAGTATTCATACTTCTATAATCCAAATCTTATTTCTTATACATCTCCTATTGTTATTAGATGATATTACCCTTTAAATAAAAGTCTTTGACTTTTATTACAAATCTGTCTCTGTGTTCTTTTTGAACACAAGTACTGTATGTAACACTGCTTTCCTTCAGTATAAC